GATATTCTTATTTTATTGTTATTCAAAAATGAATAACTGTAGAAACTCGAAATTTACACCATATGTTTATTTTATCAACTCATATACTTGATATTTCAACAATTTTTAAGTTATTTAAAGATATTTAATATTTCTTGATTTTTTAGTTTTAGATTCTGAACGAARTGAGGAATGTATTGGTTTTACAATGATGTTTATTTCTTTTTTATTCTGCCAACACTTTTTCTCCCTCTAAGCTTGCTCAAAAGTATCAAGCGTAGCATCTTTTCTGAAAGGTAATGTTCTTGAGCTGGTACTTTTGAAATTTAAAAATATTTACGGATACTTAAATTTCTAGTTTACTTTATATTCTAATATTAATAGTTAATGTCATTAATGACTTAAATTAATACTTAATAGTAAATTGTACATACCTTCTATGAATGACTGATTAAGTYAGGTGCATAATGAATTTGATTTGATTAATTTTGAATTTATTTTATAGGTACCTACATTTTTTGTTCTTTTTTAATCATAACAATATACTTAATAAAGTATAATATATCTTAGACTGACAAACCGTCTCCACCCAGAATTGTTTTTCGTATACAATGATACTATATCATTGAATTCAAATATCATCCATTACAGTAACCTACTGTACAGCAGAGTGACAGGTTACCCTCTTTTTGTTATTACTAGTTTATCAGATAAATTAAAAACAAATGACATACCATTTGTGTTTAAACTTTAAATGGTAATACATACAGATTGTAGGGAAATATATTGTTTTCTTAATTTTTGAGTTACCAAGTCACTTGGTTAAATTTTTTTTTTTGTATTTTCATAAAAACATAACTATTTTGATTTATCAATACAATTAAAATGATATCATTATAATTAATGAAACAAAAATGTAATTATTTAAATTTTATCTCTTCGAATCTTTTAGTAATTGTGTGAAAATTTGAAAATTGTATAAAATATCGTTAAAATGTTTGTTCCATTTAATGTATTTCAATTTATTATATTGATCTATTGACATTTATATAAATAAATAAATAGTTATATAAAAAACAATTTAATTCTTTATTTGTAAGAAACCTTTATATTATGTAACAAACAATAATTTCAACATTTCACACAATTACTAAAAGATTCGAAGAGATAAAATTTAAATAATTACATTTTTGTTCCATTTAATGTATTTCAATTTATTATATTGATCTATTGACATTTATATAAATAAATAAATAGTTATATAAAAAACAATTTAATTCTTTATTTGTAAGAAACCTTTATATTATGTAACAAACAATAATTTCAACATTTCAGAAGTGTTGCCTTATTAAGAAAATAATATATTTATAAATATAGTTATTATTTTATCAATTAAAACACACCAAAAYATAAGAATGCATATAATATGATAAGGATTAAGGTAACATAATTTTTATAAAGTAAACAAAAATTATGAAGTATCTACCTTTGTCAACAGTGATTTAAGGRATAGTTACTTTTGTATAATAAAATATAATTACACCATTATGGATCTGTAATTTTTTTTTTGTTTTTTTTGATAAAGCTATATTAGTTAGATAAAATATACATGCAGGCTGTATACCATGCGTTATTTAGCAAAATTTGAAAAATATTTACCATCAAAATAATTCTGACAATTTAAAAATGTATAGTTAAAACTCAGTTCTTAGATTATTAAAAAAAAAAATATTTTTTGTTCCCTGTAACATGACTGTACATTTTAATCAATCAGGTAACACTAAAAGATAAAAACAACTACTAAATTTTTTATACTTATTATATAGTTATAAAAAATAAAAATGTAATTCTTTCGACTTTATTTAACAATAATCGAATAAAGGAACAAAACTAGATTATTCTTCATTCAAAATGTTTTAACACTAAAACTGATTATTTGGAACTTAAAAAAAAATATTTTGATCTTCATTTTAGTTCAAATAATGAAGACAAAAAAGAAAATAATTAAAATCCAATAATAATAAAATTGTTGATTTCAGTCATATTATTAAGTACAAAAACAAAATCTTTAACACCCTTACAGTATATAATGAATCCCATCACCGTTACGGATGTAACCGTTCTTAGTCCCCCTTAGTTGAAAATAAATACCGATGTTCATTTAAATGATTTGTACTATTTTTCCAACGTATGAATTTCATCTTTCTTGGGTTTCTCATCAATAGTATCCGAAGATAGACCACCACTGCTGTTGTCCACGGTTTCCTTATTGTTATCTTTAATTTCAGTTTTTGGTAATTCATTTATACTTGTAGAATCACTTCCAGCATAGTTTTTAGGTTTTTCAGTTTCACATTGTTTTGGATTTTCCAGATGGAGTTTATTGGTAGGTGTTTCTTCTTCATCTGTATAGTAACTGTGAGATTCTCCAGGTTTCAATAAACGTCCAACATAATCATATTTTTCTAAATAAAACAAATACAAAGGTATGATAAATAAGTAAATAAAAAGTATCTAAAAATACAGTAAATGTAGTGGGAGTTATTAAAAATTATGTACTTCAAGTATTAAATTAAAATAAGAGTAAATTATTTATAATATATAATATTGTTATATATTAGTAGAAAAACTACATTATATAGAATACATATTACTATCACAGAAATAAAATTTATGAATTATGAAATATTTGTTATATTAATGCACATATGACTATCAATAATAAAATTGAAAACAGRGAGATCTTTTAGTAAAATAACTGGGTAAAAAAATAGAAGTGAAAAATTGAAGGRAAACAGAAATCATTACATAAAAACAGTGTTTGGCATAATCAATTTTGTACTTGTATAGTAACTTAAAAATTAATTAGCTTAGGTACATAAAATTTCATCAAGTTTTTTACTAAGGTTTTATAGACGAAATAAAATAATTGAAATATTTAATTCTTTTCGAACTCYATAAAGGTATTTTCAATATTCAATTTTTTATCTAACATTAATAAAAGTTTTTTTTAATCCAACATTGATAAAAATTGTTTTGCTAGGTAGAATAKCTTGAAAATGTAATACAAGGTTCCTTAAAAGTTGTTAATTCTAATGAAATTGATTTTATTTTAAGARGATGCTAAAAAACCATTTGTTGTCTTCTTACAAATGGATAACATACCAAACTTACACTAAGCAAATCACATTTACCTACATTAGTTTAAAAATTAGAATGAATCGACCTATTATGAAACTTGATTTTAAGAACATTATCTGTGTTTGTATGTGGGTTTTTTTTTTTGATGTTCAATTCTGTACTCTGTAGTAAGTTTCGCGTACATAAAAAAGAGTAAAATAAAATACCTAACTCATAATCACTAAAAAACTAAGTTATCATAAAAAAACCACATACAAACACAGATAATGATTTTACCATCAGGTTTCATAATAGGACAATTTACTCTAATTTTTAAACTAACTGAATTTAACGCGATTTGCTTAATGTAAATTTGCTATGTTACACACTTGAAAGACTGAAACAACAAATATGTGTATAGCGTTCTCTTTAAGGTTTAACTTGAAAAGTAAAAACTCCTGATAATAATTTAATTTTAATCAGATATTAATATATATATATATATATGAAAATTTTCCATATGGAATTTTTAAAATATTTTAAACTATTTATAGCCATGATAAATTTACAATTTTAGTATTTTTTTATTAAATCATTGCCGATAGATGTTTACCTATTTTCATAAGAAACCTGTTAACAATGTTCTATGTAAATCGATTTTGACTCAAAAGTTAATAACAACAAATTATTATAGAAATAAATAATAGATACATTCATACTACTGAATTAATAGTATGATTAGATCCTGGACGCTTATGCACTAAAAACTACCAAAATATGTATGCATTTATTCGCTTGAAAATTCTGATATATTTGCTTAAATATTTTTTTTTTTTTTAATTTGTAAATATGAGGAATAAAACATTATTTTATTAGTAACTATATATTTTTAAACATTACAATTTATAGTCAATGATTTTAATAAATTCTCAAATATAAACGACYGCCTGTTATTACCTCACAAAACATGTCAATAAACAATATAAACAAGAAATTGAGAACTGACTACATTCTATAATTTTACAAGAAGACGAAAGAATTGTTATTGGYGATTAGGATAACTACCTATATTATAATAGTCAATAACTATTGAGTAAGTTAAACACATTAAACGCAGATTCTCAGCACGAACGTGACTGTCGATCATAATATAAAGATAAAGCCGATAAAGCTAGCTGTAGTTAAAATGTATAAACATATATATTAATATATTATGTTACCTAATTTACTGGGGAAAAATATTGTTTTTAATGTAAAATGGAAATTTGAAAAATATGATAAGAATATCAAGTAAGTTTTGTCAATATAAATGTAATAATATTTTTGTTAGTAAATTTTCATACTGCATCTTCATAAATTATAAAATATATTCTAAAATTTTAAAACTACTAAATTTGCAARAATATGCACTATAAACTGTTGATATGGTTTTTGTAGTATCTTGGAATGCATTCTAACTCACTTAGCAATAAATCTAATGGTTCAAAAACTAACATCCAAATGCATGAACTTCCGGGCACTAAGTATATAAATGTCATGCTTTTGGCAAATAATAATTCAATCCATCTAATCATTGATTTCAAATTTTAAACATCCATAAAAGTGATCTATTCAATAACAAAGTATATCTGATATAGTGATATCTTCAGTGAAGGTATTAGTTTAGTGCAGCACTGCAGACACCTACTTGATAGCTTTTTTATGTTAGAAATGTTGTAATTAAATTATTGAAAAAAATGGTTGGTAATACACATTTTATTATCTAACATAATTATTTGGTCTAGGTATAATGATATTAGAAAATAATTACAACAATATTGATCATAAATAAAACCTAATTAATTTGTAAGATAAAAACTTGTGACATGAAATAGTCATTAAATTATAGGTATGACTGTATAAGCAATTACATAAGATGATACGTAAAAAATAAAATATATACATGTAGCATTGTTGCTTATAAAAATCTGATTCTCTGTTGTTAAATTTAATATTTTGATATTGGAAGTTAACTAATATAGTAATGGGGTGCTGAGAGTTCAATATATAAGTTCCCAATGTTGTTACTATATTAAGTACATTAATCATTTATTATTACTTATTAGTACATAAATTATTGTTTAAGTGGGTCAATTATTTAAATTAAAYATTTTGTTTTTGTTAAGCCAAATATAATTTATGATTTTGCAGGAACTACAGAATAAAATTGCATAATATATAAAATATTAACAAAATAACTCTGAACAGGAGTTGRCTTAAAATAAATAATATTTATATATTATAAATGTAAATCATATTTACACTTGTAAGCAYTAATTAATTATACTGTGTTTGTTATAATATATATATGAATTATCATAAAATGAATAAGTTATCAGTATGACCCATGATGACCTATATTTTTTGATTGAGAAGTTTTTACTCTTGTATTTTCAATATTATGTCAAAAAGAAAAAGTTTTACAGGATAATAAATGGTTCATCAAAGTGAAAAGAAATTTAATTTTGTGATAATATACCTATGAATATATATATATATATATAATATTATATATACATATATCTAATATAATGTATAATAGGTATATACGGAATGTATTATGTAGATTATATAAGTATAATTTATCAAGGTATAACACATTTTTTAAATTCAAACAAATTAGGTACCTAATCAACTTAATAAAAAAAAATAATTTAGATTTGAGTCAGGTTTGAGAAACCAAATAAATATAAGCATATTCTTAATTAAATAGGTGATGTTAATAATTAGGCTAAAATTATATGTATTCATTAAATTAATAAATTGCATTTAATATACTTTAGAGGCACAAGATACATATACAATAATTGCTTTTTTTATCATTCAGCATTAATTCACACAAATTATAGTCTTTACTCTTTATAGAGAATTAAAAACATAGTTACATTCAAGCAAACAACATTTATACCATTATGGAAAAACATTTTTAGAACACTCATAGTATCTAATAATATGAGTGTTTTGTTAAAAAAAGTTGTTTTTATGAGAKTTAAAAGCTTGGTTTTGTTATRAACAAAAAATTTAGTAAAGAAATTGCTAGAGAAATATTCATTTAAATACATTACATTGTATCACTGCAAATGATCAAAAGGAAAAGTATGCATACAATATTACAATTAAAAATGTGTAATGTACTTGTATATTATTTATACATGGCAAAATACCATTATAATTATCAACAAGGATTATGTTTATTGAGTTATAGTTTAAATCAAAATAATAAATATTGTACTTAGGTGGGTTACTAATGCTATTGTTACTTATGGTTAAGAACTTCTTAATATCAAGATATATATTGATAAAAAATAAAAATAAAATAAGAATGTAACAACCTAATATACAATTTAACTAGTATAAACCACAATATTTTTGTTTTAAATTTTAACTAAATAGATAATGTATCCATAGAAAGCAAAAAGTCTATGTACCTATTGTTAGATATTTTCAAAATATAATTGTTGTATTATGGGATTATTTAAGAACCATAACAATATACTATCACTATTATTATTTACTTTTTTSATCCAATTTATCTTAATTGATAGTGATTATAAAATTATATATTTACCCATAAATTGATTTTCCCATTCCAACATAGACTCAATCTCTAATGAATTCAAATCACTTAGGTCATCGTATTCATCTTTACCACTTACTGAAAATGTAGCTAAACCACGAGAAGCATCACGTCCACCAAATGTTGAGTAAACACCACCTATGAGATAAATAAGTATTTAATTGTCCATTACAAATGAAATAGGTTTAAGACCATATAGAATGTAAATAATCATACCAGGTCCGTAGAAATGTTTTCCTTTAGTAACGTCAAATACTTTGCCGTTAATTGCTACCAAAATGCGGCCGTCACCTTTTGTGCCGTCAAATTCACGAAGCTCTTGGATGGTGAAATCTCTCTTCTTCATTTTTGGTAGCACCACATCATCTTGTTCTTCGACTTCAGGCTCATTGCGTTTCATGAATATTTTCATCAACAGAAACGTAATAATAGCAACCAGACTACCGTTTAACAACACCTTTAGCCAAAAGCTCACGCTGTAAACGTCATACAGTCCATCCACGCTATCCGGCACTCCATCGCCCACATTAGATGACATTATTGCAGTATGAAAAAAAATAAAACTGGAATCGTATCTACGACACAAAACTATCAAATTTTCGAAATGCGCATAAACGGGACTCAAAAAAAATTGCAAATCAGCCGGCAACGRAGAATAGTAACAATTGTGGGAGAAAAAGTAAATAATAATTACGCCGAACGTTTACCCGTCAAGTTTCGTCGTTTCGTACGATCGGTGAATGCCGTTTTGCTGATGGCCGCCGATGAAAGTCAATTTTATAATTTATAGGTAGGAATATTTCAATAGTTCAACGATTGACGAAATGACGACTATTATTTCTGACTGCTGTTTAGCTGTTTACTTTCGACGAGATAACACTACGTTTCGAGCACGGATTATCGTAATTAGTATTTTTTTTTTCTCTACAGCTGCACAACAGAATAAAATATGATCGTGGAGGTGGAAATTATCGCATAATAATAATAATAGTAATAGTAATAATAACTATGACGTCATCACGATATTATTTATTAATGATATGGGCATAACTTGTAATGTCGTGAAAATGGGTATTGGACATTATTGGTATACCGTTTGTACCGCTTGTCCGTACATGATACACCTACCTAATAAATAATATTAAATAATAAATACAAATCATAAATTACAGTACGTAACGTCGGCTGAGCGCACACACACTTCGGTAGTCGCCACCCGCCGGAATATAATTATTATAATATTATGCGATAAATTATAAATTCATAATTCATAACCGGCGAATAGAGAAACAACGATCGATGAAACCATGATTAAATTATTTAGATTTCAGTTGAAGTCTAAGAATGCAGTGTCTGACCATTTTCGAAAACGTCATTTAGCTTTTTCTGAATATTCCGATTTGCCTTTATAAATGTATGCATTGTAGAATGTACTACCTAACATTGAATGGGTAATATCTAAAGACATGATATGCGAATTTTCCATTGTCTGTGGCGTGGCTTTATTGTCATAAACATAACATTATAATGGTACTAAGAAATAGTAATAATGATATTATAATATTTATATGCGTTGTTAGTTGTTACTGCCTATTGGTGAATGGGTGAGTGGCGGGCGGGCAGTGGTGCCGCTGCGGTAATGCAGTACGAACATGACCAATGAGTCGACATTATTATAAATATTAAATATTAAGAGGACGCTATACACACATATTTGTTGTTTCCGTCTTACAAGTGCGCAATATAGTAAATTTACGCTAAGCCGATCACGTTAAATTCCGTTAGTTTAAAAATTAGAGCRAATTGACCTAGTATGAAACTTGATGGTAAAAACATTATCTGTGTTTGTATGTGGATTTTTTACGATTACTCAGTTTTTAAGTGAGTTATGAGCTATTTTAATTTACGCTTTTTCATACACGCATAACTGGCTACAAAGTCGAACTATCGTAAAAAATCCACATACAAATACAGTCATTTAATGTCCTTAATATCGAGTTTCATAATAGGTTGATTCATTCTAATTTGTAAGCTAACGGAGCTAAACGTGATCTGCTGAGGGTAAATAATTTGTTACGTTACGCACTTGTAAGACGGAAAAAACAAATATCTATGTGTGTAGCGTAGACCTCTTGAAAAATGATAAAACGATGGCCTCGATGGACGCACGTCTGAGCGTCAGAGTGTCAGACTCACACACAGACACACAGTCACGCCTGACGCCTCCAAAACCCGRCGAGACAAAACGGTGCGCAACGTTTGGACCCTACGCCGAATACGTCAAAATACGTTACGCCGCCGCCGTGTCGTTCGGTACAAACGGAGCGCTCTTGTCGGCGTCTGTTGGTAATTCGCCGTTATCCGTTTCGTTTGAATATTATTGTCCTGCAGCTGCTGCTGTCCAAGTCCAAATCGCCTTGTGCTTGTATCGCGTATTTTACGGTTGCCGCCGATTGGAGGCTCATTCGCATTGTCCCGTATCGTCCGTCGGCGACGTTTTGACGATGATCGCGGACACGGAAATTCTTCCCGTCGCTGAGGTAAGATCTACGTACACAGTCTATATTTCGCGATGTTAAATCGTCTGTTACCAAAGTTACTGTTACGAACTCATGGATTCCGCATTCCCACTATTCCTAGTAATTAAACCAGTGTACGTTTGGAATAACGTTCCAGGGCCATTGCCAGAACAACATGTTCTAAAATATTGTTAATTACATATCAAGAATCTTACAAAAATTTTTTTATAGAATCAATAGGTGGCTTTTCTTACCTCGACCGACCGATGTATCCACATTGACCACAYCACCACACTAATATGTATTGAAATTGCAGTAGTAAACATGTTTTTGTCCCAAAAGCTCAACTAAAACCGTGTTTATTAACCCTTGCTTCGATCGATCATATTTTGTTAAAAACTATGTTGGTGTGTTATGATGTGCATAAAATAACCTTATAAAATTATTTCTTCAAAGCTKCATCAACATCTAACTTATTTGGGCATATATACACTTTAGCTACTCAGCATGTTTTTTGATTTTTTTTATCGAATCATATGTATTTCATTGAGTTAAGAACAATGGTGCAAAAAAAAAATTGSGGAAACCAATATTTTGGAAGTTATAGCCTTCCTAAGTTTGCGATTTACGTATGCGTGCAACATTATTTTAATGCTGCGCGAAGTAGACTTAGGCAAATTGTTTACTCGAACTTTTTTTTACTGTTTGGTCTTTGGTTGTCTACCGCATGAAGCCAGTAGGCAAAGGGGGTCCCTTAAGTTTGGCTATTAGAGCCAGTAGGTAATGAGCTCTGCTATACTTGGGTTACTTTAATTAAYGAGGTTAAGTTTGTTTGCTAGGTGAATCGTTTACCTCAAAGGCAGGGGTGCTTGTCCTCTCCACGACCACAAAAGGGTCGTCCTCCCTCCCCCTCCCATCAGGTTGGCTATTTTAGCCATGGCAAAATTAATGTTTTTGAAACAATGTTGTATCCAAAAAGTTGAACCATTAATGGCATTTTTTGAACTAGCTGGACAATTATATTCACCAGTTGCTCTCATTGAAAACGAAGATCACGTAATCGTTGAGGATTCAGACAGTTCCATTGACGACGATAGTACTGATTACGATGTGTAAATAAATAATTTGTTGATAGAACCAGAATCTTGTTTAATTTTTTTAAATCCTAATTTAATGTGTCCGGTAACTAAGAGAACTTGCTAATTATGCAAATTATGATTTCACCGTCATTCTTAAGTCGTTAAAATATGTAGAAAAAAAAATCAAAATTTGGTATAGACACTGCGCCTAGGAGTAGATACATGTGTTGTGCGCAAGCTTATAAACATAAAATCGCAAACTTTGGAAGTTTATAACTTTAAAATAATAGTTTCCGCAATTTTGTTTTTTGCACCATCGTTCTTAACTCGTTAAAATACATTTGAATCGATAAAAAAAATAAAAAAACATGCTGGGTAGCTAAACTGAAATTGTTCCCTTATTTGTTATTAATCAATATGGTATGAGACGTCTGCTAYATCACCTCTATCTGTAYAATTGTTTGTAGAAAATTGAAGTTGTATAATTACATAAAATACTTAGTAATATCCTCATTTTTCTGTGAATTTAAAATAATTACTCCAGCCGTCCAGCCTATCAAAACAATCAATTTCAGCATGGTATACCTAATCATTTTGGTTAATTTATGAAATATTTAAACTTCTCAAGAAATCAATTCTAATATTTAAGTCATCAAAAATTACTCAATAAAAAACCCAGATTGATCTATTTCATTATTCTTACAATAGGAATAATTTTTCTTTACATTTAAATCACAAGTTTAAAATAATAYTATTTATAAGTACAGTTTATCTAGTAAATATTCTATTAAGTTTTATATCAGAAGTGTATTAGCTTAATATTTAAAATAGCTGGAGCCGTCTATTACTTATTTAAAATGTCAATGCATAATTTGAATTTCATTTTATTTTATTCCTAATTTATTAATTGTATAAATAGCTTATACTATTCACTTGAAAGGTATAGCCTTAGATTAAATCCCTACATTTTAATTTATAGAAATCACTTTATTAGAAATATTTTCATCATATAAGTAGAGAATTGCCCTTGCTTGTAAGTTCATGCATTTGCATATCAGTTTTGCTAAGTTGTATTTAATGCTAGATAATATAGACCATGGTTACGTAATCAAATGGAAAATAATTATTAATTACCTACTAAAATATTACTTGTTGCGGTGGGACAAATGTGGCTGATGCTGTGTRTATAGAGTTCTCATATTAATAATAATTTAATATGAACACAGTACATGGTTGGTTTTTATGATACAGTAACTGTGTATTAGTACAGTTCTACTGATTACATTAGTAGACATAGAAAGAAGCTTCTCTATGCATAAACATTCACTTTCTAAAAACTGCTGCTCATTCAATTTGGAAAATTTTTGGATATTTACACTTACGAGAGAAATCATAATCTATTTACAAATATGAAATAATATATACATAATATTGTGCTATAATATTATGTCTTATTGTCGGTCGCGATGTCGTGATCGTAATCGTCTCTATGCGGGCTGTGRTCCATTAMGACGGAGACCAAAAATAACTTTATAGGTATTCGAATAATCGAATTTGATACTTACAAATTGGTTATCATAATAATATAGCAAAAACATCATTATTCAACACATATATAAATTATATTGTCAATATTTGGTTTATACTTAATATTTARCTATAATAATATAATATACGAATATTCAATTTATTTTAAATTAAAATTTATAAATGATATATCATTGATAGTTTGAGAATGATTTTGRCTTAACTTAAATTACAACACATTTGATTAAGTCTGATATTGATCTCTGTAACATTGTATATTATTCAAAAAAATTTTAATTATGCTTTATAGAAAACAATGAATACTGTAGATACATCTGATGCGTTGGATTTGACTAAAGAAAATATTAGACCACTAAGACAAGGTAGAAAACCTATTCAGTTAGAAACTGCCTTACAAGCACAATCTAATTTGGAAATTCAACAAAAGTTAAATAAAGAGAAAGAGTAAGTTAAATAAATGAAAAATATTGTACTAAATAATTAAAAAATATTGGTACTATGAATTGTTATTATGTGTATTTTATTAATATTCAAGTATATTATGTATTCTAATTCTTTTTAACAAATTCCCAACTATTTATTTTTTAAGTCTTCAATACAATCAAACTCTAATTGTATATGCAGCTACTTTTTATCATAATTGATTTTGTATTTTTATAGTTTAATATTATTTAGGTACCTAATGGTAACTTTGTTTGGACAAAAAAAATTGGACRGTCCCAAGTAATTTCACTGAGGTTCAAGTGTAGTAAAAACTCAATAAACCTAGGAAACAAAATAATCTCTATCAATTTCTTTATCTAATATTTCCTATACTTATCTTTTCTTACTTTAAATTTTTTTTTAAATTGAGTGATACTGAAATAAAAGTACTGATTTTGTTATTAATAACTAGGTTATTCATTTAATTGAACCTACTCCATATTTGACCACAAAATGTTTACATCATAATACCAATGTATATATATATATTTCCAAAAATTTACTTTTGTTTTATGTTTTTGTTGGAACTACTAAATAATGGCGGTTTATCAACAATTAATGTTCATTTGAGTAAACTTGAAAAACATCTAGTAATCCACATGACTTGTTCTACATTTATTTGAATTATTGAGATATAGTTTATATTTTTAAAACATGAAATYAGCAATTTTTTTTGGTGCAATGAATTAATGTTTTTAATACAATATTTTTAATTTTTTTTTTATAAGAAAATATGAACATGCTATTCGTACATATGAAGGTGATGATCCTTTAGCTCCACATTTTGAGTATATGAAGTGGCTAGAACAAATATATTTAAAGCATGGACCAGAGAGTAATCTGTTTCCTCTTATTGAAGAAACTGTACAGAAATTCAAAAATGATTCAAAATACAAACAGGATCCAAGATTTATTAAAATTCTGATTAACTTTGTAAATATCCATTGAATTAGCTTGATGAAAATATGTATAAACAATAATTGGGGTAATTAAATAATTTGTCAATATTTTAGATTGAAAACCAATCAAATGCTGTTGAGCTATATCAAACTGTCTACAACCAAGGTATAGGTACGATGTGTGCTTTATTTTATCGTGCATGGGCAGAGTTATTGGATAGATACAATGATTTTAAACGCGTGGATCAAATATTTTTGTTGGGAATTAAAGCTAAGGCTGAACCAGTTGAAGAACTTGAACAAGCTCATCTGTAAGCTATATTTATTTATTTAAATTAAAAACGAATTTTATATTTTTAAATTATTTTATAGTCAATTCCAATTAAGCGTTGCTAGGCGAATGATTAATGGACAGTTAGAAAATGATGACGATAAGAACCAAGAACCTGAAAAAAGACAAGCATTTAATGTATTAAAAAAGTCTGAAACGCATAGTGGAGTCAGAYATGGTTTTGGTGGAGTTATTGGAAAAGTTCCACAAACAAATAATGTCAATGGAAAATCCACTGTTCTTAGGATTTTCGAGGTAAAGTTTTTTGTTTTAAAAACTTAGAAAAACAAATTCATGATTTTGTATAATTAAATATAGGATAATGATGAAAATGGATTACATGGAATTGCAACTAGCAATTGTGATTTTGCTCAAAAAGGACTAAACAAAGAAAATACAGTAAAACCTGGACCATGGACTAAACCTAAAAAAACTCGCTCAAAAGTTCCTAAACCCGTATCAACTGTTGACTTTGAAGGTTAGTTACATTAGAAATATTAAATAAAGATATAAGTCATTGTTTATAGATCTTTTTAATAGTCTAATACTGAATTTGATGAAAATAGGCTTCGGTATGAATAGTACTATCTGTATAACCAGACTTCACCTGTGCATAATATGAACAATTAATTAATACAGAACTACCAAAAACAACTTAGTATTAGTGTACCTCTCTTTTTGAATTAATTCGACCAAGATTGGATATAGCATTTGTTAAATTTTTAAACATGTTAAAACTACTCTGATATCTTTAAAACATTCTCTGAGTTATTGGTYAAAATCAATCTTGTATTTTATTGATTCTGTAAGCTAAAATAATCATAAAACAAGTATTGCCTTTTAATATATGTAAGAATAAAAAACAAATTTCAAATGCCAACCTAWATACAGAATAAATGCATTTGATTTTTTTTAACCAATTTGTGAACTGAAATTCATTAATGCAGAAAAAAAGTAAAAAACATTTTCCCCCAAATTTCAAGAAATATTTGTGAAAAATTGGGTGTTAATTTATTTAGTATTTTTAGTCTATTAGTCTCATACAAACATTAATTTATTTKTATGTATTTTGTTGGAAATCTAGAAAAAAAAGTAATACTAAATTGATGAAGAAAAAAATTATTGTTTATCGTAACAAATCAAAATGCAGAAATTGTATTGTTTACCACATTTTATAGTTGARCTATGATTTTGTTTCTAGTATAAAAATTTTTAATCATCATGCATTTTTACAAACATATAATAGGGGGGTAAACCATTAGTGGAAGTAGGTGTACACATATTAGTTAATACTTTGGAAGTATTAGGAAGTACACGGAAGTCTGTGSAAGTACTTGGAAGCATACAGAAGTACATGGAAGTACTTGGAAGTATACGGAAATATATGGAAGTACACATGGTTGGAAGTTTGGTGTACAAAAAATTGACTAGTGGTTTACCCCCCTCGTATAATTATGTTAATATTATTTATAAAAAACATAATTCTTATGATAAATATTGACATTTTATATTTTTCACAGGGAGATGAAATATTAATTAAAAGCATGTCAGCTCGATATTTGTTTTCTCTTTCACCACTATGCAATATACATAAAATGCTYTCATCTAAAATATTTTTATTATAATTTTTTATTAACATTAGAGTAAAATCACCTGCTTCAAAAATTATAAAGGATAATATTTCTTAGGGTAAAACATATGGGTTTTATATTTTATTAATATTTGACTTTGGATTAGACTTTCAAAAAATAAAAATAAATTGTATATTTAAATGATGTTTAAATTGCTTTGAGAAATATTTTGGTAAATTAATATGTCATTCCCTCAAAAARTTGTATTAGTTATTGATTTTGTCATGGGTGATTTTACTCATAAGATTATTCAAAAACAAATGATTCAGCATAAATGCGTGTTTATGTTGTGCGTTGGCCAGAGAGAAAAAATAAATAATGCGCTGGCATCCTTTTAATTAATATTTTAATAAATTATTGATGTATAAAAACCTTTTTTTTTATATACATACCCAACCCTGAATATAATTATTTCTATAAAGATATTTTTGATTTTTATTAAAATACCTATTACTTAAGAAAATAATTATTTATTTTAATTTGTTAWMTATTTTGAATTTTAGTACACCAGGACAATAATTTGGAATGTGTAACAAAGTTACCTGGTATTACAGTTCCAAATGCGTTACGAAGTATTAAAGGAAATACTAATCTTTCCTGTCCAATTGCTGTATTTGAACCTCCAGATCCCACCAAAAGACCAATGTATTGTAAAGAAAAAGTGAGTRATCCACATGCRATRCTTATTGAAAATTAGCAAAAGTCTATTAAAAATGATTTTAAAACTACTTTGTGTTAAAATGCTTATGATGTTAGGAAAATAATTTTTTTTTGTGCATTGAAATGGCTACAAAACATTCATTAAAGTATAGCAAAATGATGTATATTGAGGTATGTATCAAATGTAAAAAAAGCTTTTTGTTTTGTTTAACTTCATAACAAAACAAACCTTGGTGCAGCATCTTAAGTTTTATTTAATTAACTAGATATTACCATATAAACCACTAAAAAAATATTTAATTATTGATTCTWTCAGTTTTTTATTTGACAATAGTATATTCTTTACTTTTTTCAATTTTTGGATCTGTTATTTGGCATCAAAATTTTATAATATGTTCTAATAATAATATTTTAATTCAAT